GGACATTTGAATCAAGTATGTATATGAAGAGACTTACCAAGCAATAGAGAATAGGGAGAATAAACTTCTAGCTGTCCAAGTGAGGCTTATATACCCCATGTTTCAAGGCAATTCAAGAGGGAAAGGATGTTTGTCACCATCCTTTGGGCTCTCTGTATGTTTAATATTAGCTAATTTACTTTCTTTTTTCTTTTTTAAATGTTTTATTTATTTATTCATGAGAGTCAGAGAGAGAGAGAGAGAGGTAGAGGCAGAGGGAAAATCACGCTCCCCGCCTAGCAGGGAGCCCAATGCGGGACTCGATCCCAGGACCCTGGGATCATTACCTGAGCCGAAGGCAGACGCTTAACCATCTGAGCCACCCAGGTGCCCCAGCTAATTTACTTTCTGATAATGGATTGTACTTAAACATCTTTTAAGATATTGCAAATATCTCTACAAATAGATATTTGTAATATCTAATATATTCTAATATATTAATATCAGTAGTCTCTAATAAATTCCCAAAGACTTCTGTAAATAGAAAATATGGGGATGATGAAGATGATCAGTGGAATTAAGATGTGAAGAAAACACATCTAAGATGGTGGTCTCAGGAAGAAGATGAAAATGGAAACTTTTAATACCCAGGCCAGTGGGGACCACAGTAGTTTTTATATTACTACTGTGAGAAGGTTTATTAAGTCAATTTAAAATTAAGCAAACAATTAAAAACATGATGAAGATAGGAAATGGGAAACAGTTTCTTTTGTGAAAAAAAATCAGACTATTTCAAGACATCTGTACCCCATCTTCATAAGGTAGGCTAAGTTTAACTTCTTTGAACTTCTTGGCTAAAATCAGTGGTTTTTAACGGAGTTTTATATTTGTCTTCATATGGCTTGATGGTTGGAGGTGCATGTTAGAAAGGTAGTAAGGAGATGGCAAATAGATTGGATGCCAGGATTTTAAATTCTCCCCTTTTCCCATTCATCACCCAACAAAACACAGGGACTGGTCATCACTCTTATACTCTGAGATTTTGAATTAGATACCATTAGAAAAAGGGCCACACTGCTAAATATAACATTTCAAAATATTTGTTCTGGCATATCCTTAAGGATCTATTTGATTTCAATATTGTATAAATTCTTATGCCCAGAAAAACCAACCTCAGATCTGTGGCACCAGAACAGATGGGCTGGTTTACCCTCTTTGGGCCCCTGTTCCTCTAGCTATGAAATAAATGGTTTGAATAAAATAATTATTGTCACTTTTAGTTATAGGATTTTATGTGCATCATGGCTTGGCATTCTGGGACCAAGAATAGAAAAGACTCCGGCAATGGGCAGCAAGCATGTCCATAGGATCTGATGTTATAAAACTCTGGGATTTTGCTGATCATAGGTCTAATAGGTTTCATGCCCAAGAGCAGAGCACAGGCAAAGCTGAGGCAGGAGCTTCTTGTATATTGTTGAGATTGTCCCAGTGCATTCGTGGAGCAAGGTGTGACACCTAAGGGCAGGAAGGGGGGCAGCTTAAGGTAGTAACACATGTAGAGAGAAGTCAGACTTGCATTCTGGTTCTTGTTCTATTCTAGGCTGGTGACTTATAAAAAGTCCCTTAACCTTCCTTTATCATAGAGATCTTCATCTGTAAATGAGGTATTTGTACTATTTGAGCTCTGTGGGTCTCTTTTGGACAGGAAGGATAGATAATAAGGACTTCCCATCCACAACCTTTTTTATTTTGATTTTGAGGATATATCTGAAATGATAAGATACAGTGGGGTCAGGGTTGGCTACTTAGGCAACAATCTAAGGAATCAAGTTGTTTTGAAATTAAGATTTATTTTGGGTCTCTTTTGAAAATCTGAAAATATTTTAATTTTTCTGGTCTTTAACACACCCAGAGAGCTTTGAGAATACCAATACCTGGATCCCACTGCAGATCAATTAAATCAATATTTGGGAATATTTGGGTTTTGGATTTATTTTAAAATCTCCCCAGGAGAATCTATTATTCAATGTTGAGGACTTTTGTGTAAAGGAGTTTATCACAATTTAGAAACACTAAGTAACTACCACACTATTTGTTTTGAACTTAAGTAGGGAAGCTAGCTCACAGAAATTGTTGAGATAAGAAAAGCACTTTCTTATTGCAGTATGGAGGCACTGTGAATATAGCTGCAATGGAAATTCCATCTGCAAAAGAGAAGATTATAAAACTTCTGTGGGCAAAATTTTACCTTTGTACTTTGGATGTTTTTATAGATCTGAAGGTGAATTTGTGTGCTTCAAAATGTTTAAGTTTATTTTTATTTGTGGACATTCCTGGTGCAGCCATAACTGATATATTTGAATTTAATCACCCATTGGTTCTTCTGAAAACCACTTTTGGAAACCACAAAGAGATAGGAAGCCTTTAATTCGGCATGTTTTCAGGTTGTGTGTAGGTTGGAAAAATAGATATAAGTGCTCATGACAGCTCCACATGGTTAGGTATGAGCAATTCAAACTGTAATAAGTGACAGATTTAATATGAAATGTTTATGGACAGGGGTCATTTCATGAAAGGAAATGAAATTAAGTGACCTGTTTGCTGTGATCTGGAAATATCTGCATCAAATAAACTGGGTTAAAATCTCTGTCACTCAGAGCAATGAACACAGTGGGAGTCATCACATTCCCTAATTGCCCTACGTGACGGATTTTTGATGTCTTGAAAAGATCTGGATTTCTTCAAATTGTTTAGCCCAGGAGAGAAGCAGATTTTCTGATTTTTCATGAGAAATGCTCTTTTAGAAATATATTTACAAATGCTTATCAAAGTGCTCTTTGAAGTAAGCTTTGTTTTCTGATGTGATGTCTCATCATCCACAATTTCAATCTCTTTCCCTTAGGAAAACACCACCTAGTATCAGTTCCAGATGAGCACTCACATAAAAATGTTTACTAATGGTAAATGAGACACGACAAAACAACATGGAGGCAGTATTTTTACTATCATAACCATCTAGAAAAAAACCTTGAGGATTAGTCTGAAAGATATATTCCAAACTTCTTATATATTTAATGTTTATTGATTGCATGTTATGTGCAAAGTAATGTATTAGATGATGGAAGGGAATAAAATGGACTGAATTTTCTCAGTGAATAGCTAGAAATTTTATTCTACAAACATGCTAGATGTTACAAATACAGCAGTTGAAACTTTAAAGAAACTCACTCAAGAGAAGGAAGGGCACTTGCAGAACTGCTCCTAGTGAGAAAGTAATGAAAGTTCTTAGCCCACAAATAAGATTTTTGAAATATCTGCTAACAGCAGTAGGTATTCCTTTTAGGGCTAAACTATTTCTTTTTTTAAAATTTTTATTTTTAAATAATCTCTACACCCAACATGGGGCTTGAATCTGCAACCCTGAGATCAAAACTTGTCTGCTGGGGGAACTTGGATGGCTCGGTCAGTTAAGCATCCAACTCTTGATTTCGGCTCAGGTCATGATCTCAGGGTCATGATACAGAGGCCCACCTTGGCCTCCATGCTCAGTGGGTAGTCTGCTTGAGATTCTCTTTCCCTCTGCCCTCCCCCCCCACATATTTTCTCTCTCTCTCTCAAATAAGTAAATAAATCTTAAAAAAAAAAAAAGTCGCATGCTCTACCGATTGAGCCAGCCAGGCACCTGAGGGCTAAACAGTTTCTTATAGACTTCAAATTTTACTTTATTCTAAATCTCCTATAGGGTTTGATTTTTTTCTAGTTCAATTTAATAAACAAACTTCCACTGATCGCCTATTTATAAGAGCTACAATGTTAGGGGCACCTGGGTGGCTCAGTTGTTAAGTGTCTGCCTTTGGCTCAGGTCATGATCCCGGGGTCCTGGGATCGAGCCCCGCATCGGGCTCCCTGCTCTGCAAGAAGCCTGCTTCTCCCTCTCCCACTCCCCTTACTTGTGTTCCCTCTCTAGCTGTGTCTCTTTCTGTCAAATAAATAAATAAATAAAATTTTAAAAAAAGAGCTACAATATTAGATGACAGATCTTACGAAGATAAAGATATTACTGTCATCAAGAAACATATACGAGGAAATGGACACATGAAAACAAAAAATAGAGCAACACACACACACACCAGATCAGAATTAATCCAACAAAGATGATCTTAAAGATTTACCACAATTGTTTGGATCATAATTTATTTATAATGACTAAATTTGGGAACAAAAACTGATGAAGAATTTTCTTAGCATTTTTATATTATTTATATTATTATATTATCACATTTTGTGTTATAAACATTCTTTGTAACTATTAAAATAGCAATATACACTCTAATTTTTTGAAGGTCCTGTATTTTATAATTCGATTGTAAAGCAAGTCCTGCCATGTGAAAAATAACTAAGCTGATTTAATCGAAATATTTTTTCCTTAATAGTATAGAAAATCATGTAATTGACTTTATCAATATTCTAAGTATTAATTTTTCCAAATCCTTATGGTTAAGTCAACAGTTAATTTTGCAATGGCCATTAGTTCTGATAGAATATCTGAACTCATAGTTGGTTTACTTTTCTGAAAATTTCATCTTAAAGTTACCAAATATTTTCTTCTTGGCAATAAAAGATCAGCAGACCAGTTACATTGTATAATTTTACTTCAGCCAGAATTCCATGACTCACATTGTTTCTAAACGACAGTATTGATCTAAGTCGTTCTGAATTACTAATGACAGAGAAATTGGCTGGTCAGAGAAGGAAAAGCATTTGAAATTGGTCATGCCAATACCTTTTTATTATAAATGACACAGTTGACAAGTTGAGCATGAAGCCTGTTTCTAAAGCCATTTCTACAGTTTTGCTTTTCAGTTCCACTTTCAATAGTCATGATTTATATTGAGCTACTTCAATTTTGGAATAAAATGTCTTCTTGATTTTCTCATTATTCCACATACTGCAAAATAGTCATTTCCAAGGAGATTTTTTATTGGTATGAGAGCTTTATTAAGAGCAAATGATATACTTACTCTTTTGGAAACAATGGAAGACAAGTCCAAGCCAATAAATTGGCATTATTGGTTGCATAGACAATCCCAAACAATCTTATAGTGAGCATGGATTCCCTTGGAAGTGACTTTATTTCAAGAGGAAAATTGATCCTTAAAATAAAAAAAAAAGTAGATTATCTACGCAGTTACAATGGATCCTTTTGAACTTTTGTGTTTGATCTTGTAAAAATGGAAATATGGCAGAAATACATAGAGTAATGAGATGCGTTATTCAATCAATGGGGATTGCTTTAATTATAATTTTGACATGTAAGCTTATTTTTAAAATTTATAATGATTTATGCATTTACTCTTTGTAAACACAGAAGAAAGAATGACTAACATTGTCTTAGGGAATGGGGGAAGGAAGGAAATAACTTGAAATGGGTCTTAAAGAGTAAGTTGGCTATAATTAGATGGAGATTTGGAAAAGAATATTCCAAGAAGAGAAAAGTACATAGACAAGGTCATTCATTCACGGAAAGATTAAGTGTAGCTGAGAAATGGTGAGTAGCTCATTATGGCTAGAATGAGAGATGTGGTCAAGTTGGTTGGGGAAGTTATAGAGGATGTCATTGAAAAAGGTAGGTAGTTGCCAGATGCTTAAGAACTCTGTATGCCAGGCAAGGGAATTTGAGTTTTTTCTTAATGGCAAAAGGGAATATTTGAACAAGACAGCTAAAAGTATAGAGAGTTGTTTATGATTTTAAATGTGAACCGTTCTGGGTAAGAGATCCCCAGGCTTTTGGGGGATGATTGCTAAAACATAATGGACATACCAATTTCTGGATAGGTCAAGGTGAGGTTACAAATGATACTATAAAGACTAGGAGGGGTACACCTGGGTGGCATAAGTGTCCAAGAAGAAAAAGCTTTGACAGAAAGTTGAGAGTGTGATCTGAGGTCTCTAATGGAGGGTAGGGAGAAGGGTACTTTTCTTTCCTTTTTGGAGTCATCTCAGTTATATAGAAATGATCAGATTCTATTATAAGAATATCAAGACAAGTATGGCATTTAGGAGAGATCTATTTGTGAGACAAGGAAATGAAAGACATCAAGAAATTTATATGTTTGCTAGAAAATGAGAATGCTAGGAAGAAATGGAAAAACTAAACAGAGGTTAGCAAAGTGAAGACTCACAGGAGCCGCTTCACCAAGGGATGGGAAAAGAAAAAAAGTGACTGGAAGAGCAAATCAGACAGCTTGTATTGTATGATATCTGATGGTATTAGGTATGAGGAGTATAAACAGAATCCACTGGACTTGTGATTCCCAGTTGAACTTTGACATCAAATTGTTTAAGCAGTAGGTAATTAGGAGAGGACTGATGATGACCAAAGCCAATGTTCAATTGGAAGGTGCTGAGTTGAAGCCTCAGTTAATATTGAGCATTTTCTCACAGTAGCAGTTGGCTGTCTAATCTGGATATTAGGGAGAAGTCTTTACTCAAAGTGTCAAATAAAACATAGGTGACCCTCTTTTATGAGTGGCGGGGGGGGGTCAGTATCCAGCCTAAGAAATAATGAGGTGTCAATTCAGCTAGTGACCATACTGATTTTGAGGCAGTACACACCCATCTCCCCAATATGCTCTTCCTTGTGATAAAGAACCCCAGATCCTGGGTGGCAATAAAGCAGCTAACAAGAGAGAAGACAGAAGAGCTATTTTATAGGTAAAATAACTAATATTTGATTGACAGCATATTAGTCGAATAGGACAATGAAGAATTAAAGATGAATTCTAGGCTTCTAGATTATGTTATAGTTGATAACTTTAACTGATACAGAAATATAAAATAAAAAGGAAATTGAGATGGGGTAATATGTGCAGTTTAAGGCATGATATAATTGCTTAATATTAATTCTGAGATGTCAATATGTAAGCTGTGTGGAGAGGACAAGTGAGAAGTTTGGATCTGGATACATTTGCATTCAAATATCGGCCCTATGACTAATAAGCCTCATTTTTCCTTATCCACATAATGGATCAAACATTGAATAAGATAATAGGTGGCAAATGGTAACAATACATCAGTAATACGTTCATTATTCAATCAATAAAGTAATAATTTATATTAGCCATTGTAGACAGATGAAATTTAAATCTAGTTAAATGTAGCGAAGGGAAATAAAATGAAGACTATGGTAAAGAAAATCTATTTTTTCAAGATTAGCAAAATTTAGATTATTAAAAAATTAATTTGTTTTATATTTAGATATTTAAAAATCTTTCTTTACCTTCATATTCTTTCACACTCGTAATATCCACTTAAGATAATGTGGACATACTTCTCAGCTTAGAAGAAGTTCTGAAACTCAACATAAAATGTTGATGTTCTTGTGGAATGCACAGTAATTTCTTGAATGTTCTCTTTTACTTGTAATTGATTTTCTATTCAGTTTTCATGTGTCTGTGCTAGAATGAAAGCTATAATTTCACTGTATTCCTCACCTAATCTAGAATGTTCTTTTTCTCATTGAGTCTGGCTTCTTCATGTCTAACTTCATTTATTAGTGAGCTTTCACCTCAAGAATGACAAAAATTCAATAAGTTACAGTGGATAGTTACTGTCAATCTCCATTTTGTCATTTTGTATTAATAAGAATAAATTCTTCTAGGAAAGAATACATGCTCTCTGAATAGTTATTTATTCATTTCTTGAATACCTATGGATTTTTAGAGCCAGAATAATCTCACATTCATTGGAAAATCTCTCTTTTAACCTTCTACACAGCTATCGAAAAATCAAAGGAATGAACTTTTAAACCAAAAAAAGGAGAAAAACACTTAAAGGGACAAATCAGTAAGTGAAGTTGAATTGCTTCTTTTTATGCAAGCAGCTGGCATAGACTGCAAGTTTTAACCATATATTTACCTTATTCTATGGCTGAAAAAATGAATAAACACGAAAATTTTTCTGAAACTTTTTTCCTTCTTATGAGATAGTTTCCCTAAGACCAGAGTAAGTTTTTCATAGTGAAAAATGGGAGATTTAATAAAGTCACAATGTTTAGAACTCTCCTTTTAATATTGATATTTGACAATACAGCCTTGTAAGGATTTTTGTGTTGTGAAACAGGAAGCCATTTCAGGACTTTCAAACAGAATAATAGCATAGCCTGACTTACATTTTAAAAGAAGTCACTTTAGCCACTGTGTGAGAAGGACTATAGCAGTGCAAGAGAAGTAGGGAGACCATTATATAGATACTGTGGTAATTCAGGGGAGAGAGAATGAGGGCCTAGACCAAAGAAAGTGATGAGAAGTAAGAGTCCGGAAATATTCTGAAGGGAGAGCCTGTAGGATTTCCTGGACATGGAATCTAAGAGAAGGAGATTCAGGGTAAAGATGTGACCTGAACAACTGGCGCTGAAAATGATAGTCCAGGGTGGCTATCCACGGATGGAACAAGTTTGGAATGTAAGCTAAAGAGTACTGTTTTAGACATGCTGAATGTATAAGTGTGGAGTTTGTGACTGATGCCTGTGTTGGTGATATAATTTTTAGAGATTCTATAGACAGCATTTAAAGCTATGTGATGATAAGAGAAAGCTAAAGGAGAAAGGTAAATACAACAGAAAAGAGGTATAAGTGCTAAGACCATGATCAGTCTGGGGAAAGAAAAGAAAATAGAGAAGGAATGTCCAGTACAGGAGGAGGAAAGCAAAAAGAATATGGGAGCCAAGAAGAGAGCATAGTTCAAGACAGAGGGTGAGATCAACAGTGCCAAATGCTCCTAAATAGATCATGTAAGATCAAGACTGAGAAACTAACATTAGATTAACTATGCAGGTCACCAGTGACTCTAATGGGCAATTTCAGTGAAACAGAAGAGATGAAAGCCTAATTGGAGTATATTTTAGAGCAGAGAAAAAAGTACTGAAGAAAGTGAATATATACAACTCTCTGGAAGGGTTTTGCACTAAAGCAGAGGGGAAAAAATGGGGTGGCTGCTGGTAAGAGAATGGAGTAGAACTTTTTTTTTAAATTTAAGATGAAAGAACTACTTATAGAATATTAGTACTCTGCCAAGGATTTTATATGTTTTAAGACATAGTATAGAAATCACAGTAAAAACATAGCTTTGGAGTGAGAGTAGGTCTGAGCACTAGTTCTGTCATTTACTCATTGTGGGACCTGGGGCAAGTTAATTAAGCTTTGTAACCTCAATATTCTGATCTTTAAAAAAGGATGACAATACCTGTTTCATTTTTTTGTTATTAAGATGAGATAATATATTTGGGGTATATTATCATGATTGAAATATGTAGTCAAATCTATGTCATATATTATTAAACAACAAAGTTTCTGTCCTTAAGTGTACCGTCTAGTAATGAAATGTATAATCAATTATAGTGTAAAAGATATATGTTAAAAAATATATAAAGAATGCTACAGGTACCTAGAAAAATGGTAAATAACTATTTTTAATGGAAATGAAATGAAATGAAAATAATTCTAGGTTGAGGTCATTAACTCTATTGAGGGAAACAAAAAACTCACAGTAAAAATAATGCGTGTACAGTCTTGAAGGAACAGAAGAAAAATGTATCAGTGTAGTTATTCCAACAGCACTAAGGATTTTCAATTTATTTGGGAACTTTTTTGGGGGGGGATTTTTAAAAAATTGACGTTAGATTTAGTAGGTTTTTTTATTGAATTAAATGATAGCACATATCTATCAGTTGAAAACTAATCTGATTTTTTGAAATAGCTAGGAGTAAGTTTTAATTAAGTCAGAAGAATAATTTTAGTCATTGAGCTGATTAATAATATTTTAAAAGAATCACTTGTTACATGAAATTCATTCATTTGCCCAAGAACAATTACTGAATTCTTACTCTATTTGATACTGCTTATGCCGCTATGGCCAGAATGAAAAATTTTAAAAAGAAAATAAAATGACAAAAGCCACAAAAAAAGATCTTTGTATCATTTGGCAAAAGCAAACAGAAATATAAGCAAACACATTCAGGAAGGGACCATAAGAGAATAGATTGAGGTTCCCATCAACCAACAAAAGAAAAGTGGCCAATTATTTCTAATGATACAAAGAAGAGTTTACAGAGAAGGTGAAAGAGTGTCTTGAAAGATAATTAGGAGATGAACCATGAGAGACTATGGACTCTGAGAAACAAACTGAGGGTTAAGAGGGGGAGGGGGTTGGGGGGATGGGTTATCCTGGTGATGGGTATTAAAGAGGGCATGTTCTGCATGGAGCACTGGGTGTTATATGTAAACAATGAATCATGGAACACTACATCAAAAACTAATGATGTAATGTATGGTGATTAACATAACATAAAAAAAAAGATAATTAGGTGTTCCCAAGATGGGCAGTAAAGACACTGTACTCTTGACAGATGGAGGACCCCTAGCAGAGGCATGACTTCTCAGTTTATAGTTAGGGTAAATAGATCAAATGCAGAATGACTGGATGCAGGGCCATAGAGTGGGGTTAACTTCAGAGATAAAGGTGCAGAGATAGGCAGGGGCCAAACCACTGGGAGCCTTGTATGCTGTGCTAAAGGATTTGTATTTTACCTTATGAGAATTGGGGAAACACTGAAGAATTTCACAAGCAGAATTCATTCTGTGCAATAGAAGAGGGCTTTGTAATTGAATATCGGGTCTTTGGTCAAGGGAATTAAGAGCCTAAGCAAAGAAGGGAAGATAAATGTCATAGTCCTAGTAAAAGGAGGAATTGCTTTTGCATAGAAGGAACCATGGAGTACGTAAAAAATGAAGGCTACATGTCATGTCTCCATTGATTGCAGTAACACTAAGATTAGGATAAGTGGTTCTATCTAACACCATCCTTGGAGTCCCAGAAATTTCGGCACATGTTTCTCAATGAAAAAGAACAACACTGGGGAATCAAATCATCTTCCAAGAAAGCCAGATCTGGTAAAAGGGGCATGAGACATAGGTTGGTTTTCTTTTACTTGAGGTGGGAAGAAAATTCACTGTCAGTGTAGCATTGGCGACCCCAGAGAAATGATTGAAAGCTAGTGGAGTAGTGTCATAGGAACAGCAAGAAAAAGTGGAAATAATCATGAAATAGCCATAGATAGGGCCTATGAACGCCCTGAGATTCTGAGTAAAGACTTGAGGTGAAGGGAAGGGGACAGAGGAGAGCAAGAAGGAATGAACTGTGTCAAGAAGGTACTTTTTTCTTTCTTGATTTAATAAGTGTCTCTAAAATGAGAAACTAGGAGCCAATCACCCAAAATTAGATGGTAGTTTGCACATGCATAGATAATTATTATAAAAAAAACTTGACTTTAAATAAATTTATAATTGGCTTTCATGGGGAAGTGAAGATTACATGTTATTAGGTGATTTCTTTCTTCATTGTTATACCTGGAATCTACTTCCCCCAACCCCAAATAGAGGGTATCTCTTATATCCACAGTCCGTGAATGATTAATAATTCTGTTTTTTCCAATTTCCCTTTTTGATCAGTTTGGTAATGTGGATTGGACACTTGTCTAGATTTCTAAATGGACTTTTAATCTGTTGAACTGTATGGTCAGTTATCTATTAGTATGAGCATATCTGTCATATCACTGAATCACATCAATTGGCAATATTTAAAAAAATCACACCTTCCACTTTAAAAAAAAAGAGAAAAAAGAATCCTTGATCTTTATTACATAAATGATACTGCCAAAATAAAGATTAAACTTACGTTTCATTCCAGTTGACCAAGAGAAAAAACAATTTTTTGACTGGAATATTTCTGTAGCTTCTCACTTGGCACAACTTCTTTCCAGCATATGTAAGCCAACAGGAAAAAGAAAATGCTTTATAGCTAAAAACAAAAATATTCAAAAAGCTGAAAACTATAAAGAAAGCAGTTTTCTATATGGGTCAATTATTTTTAGAGTTAAAAGTCAAATGATAAAGTTATATCTGCTTCTGTAAAGTATGCTTTAAAAATAACTTTAAAAATTTATGTTGGGTGACATCTGCAAGATGGTACAACAGAAAGCCCCAGACTCGCTTTCCCCCATGGAAACACCAATTTGGTGTTTGGATGGATCAATTCCCTCTGTGAGAAATTCAGAAACAAGAAGCTCTTGCACTCCAGGCAAGTACAAACCAGTCACATAGAAATCAGTAGGAAAATTTGTGTCCTTTTCCAGAACTCCTTCCCTGGCAGAGTGTAGTGTGATCAGGAGGAAACTCCCAACTCTCAACCTTTCCCTGGGGTGGGAAAGAGAAGACCAAATATATGTCTAGCATTCAGACTTTTTAAGGGGCTATCTAAGGGACTACTTTCTGTCCTGCCTAAATCTAAATGCTGAATAGGAATGGGTGCCAGGTTCGGGGCCTCTGAGAACAAAGCCAATGGTTTCAACTAGCACAAATTCACTTGCCACTGTCCCATCTCAGTGCAAAATGAACAGGAAAAAAATCCCCAACTCATTGCAAAATGAACAGGAAAAAAAAAAGACCCAACTTCTGGCTTCTCAGTGCAAAATGAACAGGAAAGAATCCTCAACTTCTGGCTTCTACCAAAGGAGAAAAAGAGCTGGAGTGTGTGTCCAGTGTTCCAGCTTTTTGGGTGGCAGCCTGAAAGACTGGTTTCTGTCTTACCCAACTCATAGCATAGATGGGACCTGGTGTACTCTGGATGCCAGGGAAGAGCTGAGAACCCAAAACAGCTGAGGGTAGGGCTCCTGGGTGGCTCGGTAGGTTAAGCATCTTGCCTTCAGCTCAGGTCATGATCCCACATCAGGCTGCTGAGTGGGGAGTCTGCTTCTCCCTCTGCTCAGTGGGGAGTCTGCTTCTCCCTCTGCCCCTTTCCTGCTCATACTCTCTCTCTCTGTCTCAAATAAATAAGTAAAATCCTAAAACAAACAAACAAACAAAAACAACCAGGGAGTTTACAGCAGCACCAGCAAACTTGTAGTGCCATAGACAGACACTAGGGGGAGCAAGAAATTATGAGCTCCTGAAGAAAGAAGCAAAACCTCTCTAATTGGGAATTTACACACACAAATCCAGAGAAGAGAAAAGGTTTGAAAGGCCCCAGAATCTCTGGTTGTGCTGACTGGTGACATTATTTCTCTGTATGAAACCAATCAATAAAGACTGTATTTTTTTCAAATGCATAGACTCCAGTACAAAGTAACAAGGCATACAAAGAAAGAGGGGAATATGGCCCAACAAGAGGAATAAAATAAATCTCCAGAAACCAACCTTAAATAAATCGAAGCATATGAATTACCTGACAAAAAACTCAAAATAATCATCATAAAAATGTTCAACAAACTCGGGAAAATGATGCATGAACACAATGAGATTATAAACAAAGAGACAAAAAATATTAAAAAGAACCACACAGAAATTTTGGAACTGAAGAACATAACTGAATTTTAAAAAAAGTCACTAGAAAGTTTCAAGAGTAGACCTGATCAAGCAGAAGAAAGAATCAATGAACTCAAAGATAAGTCATTTGAAGTTATCCAGTCAGAGGAACGAAAAGAAAGAATGAAGGAGAGTAAAGAAAGCTTAGGGGACTTCTGGGACATCATCAACCAGACAAATACACACATTATGTGAGTCCAGGAGGAGAAGGTAGAGAAAAAGAGGCAGAAAGCTTATCTAAAGAAATAATAGCTGAAAAGTTCTCAATTGTGTGTAAGGAAATTGACATCCAGATTCAAGAAACCCCACAAACCAAACTAGGATGAGCCCAAAGAAGACCACACTAAAACACATTAAAATCAAATTATCAAAAGTCAAAGAGAAAGAATTTTGAAAGCAGCTAGAAAAAAGTGACCCACCACACAAAAGAGAGATCTTATAAGTTTATCAGCAGATTTCTCAGCAGAACCCTTGCAGGCCAGAAGGGAGTGGGATGATATATTCAAAGTTCTGAAAGACAAAATTGCTAATCAAGAATATTATATCTGGCAAAAGTGTCCTTCAAAAATAAAGGAGAAAGACATACTTTCCCAGATAAACAAAACCTGAGGAATGTCATCACCACAAGATCTGATTTACAAGAAAGGCTAAAGGTAGTCTTCAAATTTGAAATGAAAAGATGCTAGCTAGATAGCAACACAAAAGCATACAAAAGTCACTGGTAATACAAAGGTCACTGGTAAAGGTAAATATGTAGACAAATACAGAATACAGTAAAATACTTTGTAATTGTGCATGAACAACTCTTAACTCTGGTATAGAATGTAAAAGGTAAAGTATTAAAAAACTATAATTATAACAATATGTAAAACAAAATGATGTAATTTGTGGTATCGATAACATAAAGTGTGGTGAGGGGAGAAAAAAAGCAGAGTTTTTGTAAGTGACTGAAGCTGTTTTAAATGTAAGATGCTTTATATAAGGTCTATGGTCATCACAAAGAAAATGCCTATCTAGAGAAGATACACAAAAGAAAATAAAGGAATCAAAGTATGCCATTATGAATAATCAACAAAACACAAAAGAAGACAGCAAGAGAGGAAAAGAATAGAAAACAGTGGAAAAAATGGCAATAGTTAAGTCCTTCCCTATCATTAGTTACCTTAAATGCAAATGGAGTAAATGCCACAATCAAAAGACATACCATAGCTGAATGGATAAAAAAATAAGATCCAATTATATGCTGCTTACAAGAGACTCACTTTAGACTTAAGGACACATATAGGCTGAAAATGAAAGGACAGAAGAAGATGCTCCATACAAATGGCAATCAAAAGACAGTAGGGGTTGCCTTTCATACATAAGACATGATAGACCTTAAGTCAAAAAATGTCACAAGAGATAAAGATGGACATTATATAATGATAAAAAGGGTGAATTCGTCAAGAGGATATAACAATTGTAAATACATATGCACCCCAAATTGGAGCAAATATATTAAGCAAACATTGACAGAACTGAAGGAAGAAACAGATAGCAACACAATAATAGTAGATTTCAATAGCCCTGTTTTAATAATGGATACAACAACCAAATTGAACCTAATAGATAAATACAGAACATTCCATCCAATAACAGGAGAATACACATTCTTCTATAGAACACATGGAACATTCTCTAGCATAGATCATGTGTTAGGTCACAAAACAAGTCTTAACAAATTTGAAAAGACTGAAATCATACCATATGTATTTTCTGACCACAATGGGATAAAACTAGAAATCAATAGCAGAAAGAAAACTGGAAAATTAACAAATTTATAGAAATTAACACTTTTGAATAATCAATGGTCAAATAAGAAATCAAATGGGAAATTAGAAAATATATTGTTACAAACGAAAATGAACACACACCATACCAAAACTTATGAGATGCAGCAAAAGCAGTACTAAGAGAGAAGTTGATAACTATAAATTCCTATATTAGAAGTATAAAAAAAAAACCTAACTTTATATTGAAGGAACTAGAAAAAGAGGAACAAACTAAGTCCAAAGTTAAATGAAGGAAGAAAATCATAAGTATTACATCAGAAATAAGTGAAGCAGAGAATAGAAAAAAATAGAAAAAAATAAACAACACTGACACCCCATATATACATGAAGGTTCATGCGTATAGCTTTATCCATATTTATCTGGCTACATAGTTTTTCCATGTTAATTAAAATTAATAAGTATGTACTAATGGTTAAAATATTGTAAGAAACCATCAGAGTAGCAGTTTATTATATTATACATCAGGCCTTTAAATTTTCATAAAATTAAGAAAGAAAAGGTATAAAAGAATCATCCCATGGATTTAAAGAAATATGGGTATGTGTAGATAATAGTGTTTTTTACATACTTATCTCATTGATTGATTTTTAAAGATTTTATTTATTTACTTGATACAGAGAGGGAGAGAGGACGTGCGCATGCACAATAGGGGGGGAGGGGCAGAGGGAGAGGGATAAGCAGATCCCATACTGAGCAGGGAGCCAGGCACAGGGCTGAATCCCAGGACCCTGAGATCATGACCTGAGCTGAAGGCAGACACTTAACCAACTGAACCACCCAGGGGACCCCTCATCTCATGGATTTAAAGAATTATGTGTATGTGTACACAGGTAGATAGTGTTTTTTACAAAGGTAATTTTTTTCTTTCTAATTAACTTTATAACTATTTGTACAGGTCAGTTACTTGCAAAAATACATATAGCAATTTTTTCTCTTTTACTGAAATGGTTTCAGCTTTTCTTTGAGGTGCGAAGTGGGTGGGTACAATAAATCCATTTATAAATTACTATTCTCTTATTAACTTTAATTGATTTAATCCACATTCTCTTATAGATTTAATCTATAAGGAATTTAAAATGATTATAATATTAATCTAATTATGTTATTCAAAAAAATGCTGCATAATAGAGCCAACCTAAAATCTAGCAACGCTCCATGCATAATTGTGGTTAATTTCCATTGTAACTCAAATAACTCTTGGCTAATTCCCACTTTATCAAGGTACTAATTTCACAAAATATCTACCAGTCACAACTTGATGGGTATCAGAGTGATTCTTTTCTATTAAGTACTACTCCCTGTGTGTGCTATCTCTCTCTCTCTGTTCTATTAATTAGCATTAGTCATTTAAACTCAAATGTTAAAAAAAATTAGGGCAATCGCTAAATAGGATGAGCATTCTCGGCTTCCCTAATGATATACTGACAATATGCAGCAATTTTTAATATGGAGAATGGGAAAAGACTTGAGGAAAAAGGAATGTGCATTTGGGAATGAAGTTTTTAAAAATGGTTTTAAGATAAATCTACACTGGTTAAATTTCAAAATTTTTACAAAATCTTTGCTCCTGCAAATAAGAACAAGACAAATTATACTCTAATTAGAAGCCATGTAAAAATTAACATTTTTATGAAAAACTCACTACCACTCACCTGTGCACCCAAGTCTCTGGAATATTGTGAACTGCATACACCGTGAAGCTAAGGTGGGAATGGAGCCCAGGATTTACATAGGAAATGTCATCAGGTACATTTAGAGGCTGGAAATCTGCATAAAAGCTGCAGCAATAGGCATTGATAAGCTGGTAGATGGACCTGGATAGTTCAGTTGTCACTTTCTCTATCAAGCCTAAGGGGGAAAAAAAAGATGGAAATCAGGGCCATCTCTGAAGGGCCATATTTATTGTAAGCCATCAATTACAGCTTTGAAATATCTTATGATAAATTTTAAATAAAATTTAATTAAAATGACCATCCACCAACTGAAGCCAATTAGCCATTTGTGCCTCTGTCTGCAGCCTGAATTAGCCGATCGTAGTGTAGATAATCAGTAAGCTTTCATATCTTCAGTTGCAGAAATCTTGGAAGCATGGCCTTTAATCATGAACCAGAGTTTTTGATTACTAATTTGGCATTCTATAATTTGCAATATTTTTTGTTCCAGTTTATTATTGTTTAGAATTACTTTTCAGACAAGGAACAGATTTTTTACATGGCTTGGAAGTACTTCAAACAAATCCCATCTAAAAATTAATCATAATAAATTTGACGATGCTATGATGCTTACCATTAACTGAACACTAATCATATACATTGTGCTGCTGTAAAAAGAGAACAGTAATAGTACCTGGTTGGGATCTGAAATAAGCCTGAAATGAAAGATTTATGATGCTTATTAAATCTCTTCAAAATCAAAGCCTTAAGTTTTACTATTAATTTTTTAAGAGGGGTTTATTGATTATTCCTAAAAGTAACTTGTCATGAAGGAAGAAAAATGAAAAAAAAAAAAAAGACTAAGTACAGGGGCTAATAGCTCCGAGTGTGTACTAAATAAAGGCATACCAATATATCCCAGACAATATGAAAAGACCTAATCACTGAATTTAAGGTAAACTTTCCTGGCTTTCGTTCTCCCAATAAATTCTCTTTCCTGAAAAAATTCCTACCTGAGAGGAAGAAGAGACTGATGAAATGGACCAGGTAGTACAGGTTGTGAACTTTGAATCAAAATCAGGAAAGATGACGCCATTACAATGGAGAAGCTTATGAGGATGATGAACGTTATCCCACGGGTGGAGTTCAGTGTCAGACCTCTTAGTGGGGCCAGGGAATAATTCTCACTACTGACATTTTGTATGCATTAATATGCATATACATTAATATACTCACTTGTGATTGTTTTTAATATTCCACTACAATAGTGTTTCAAAAGTTAAATGAGTAAACTCAAATATAAAAGCTCAATCATTATTATTTTTTAAGCCAGATCAGGACTATCTTCGACAAATATTTAAGCGATAAAACGGTTTAGGAAATGAAAAAACAGTATGAAGTGAAGTTGTGAATGGAAGCTCTGGTGCTCTCCTCGGAGTCCTTCATGCCCGACGGGCTTGGCTGAAGGAGTCTCCGGAGGGTTCGCACAGCTAGCTGTGGTCATGGTCAAAGACCCGTCGGTGTGAATCTGTCCATCATCCTCACACAGCATCTGTCAGCCTTCGACCAATCCCCGAAATAGGCTCCTTAAATCCTACAGGTTCGTTCTGGTAGACAAGTGTAAGGCAGAAAACCCTGAGAAAGAAATCAGGCTGGTCTGATCTGAATGCTATCCTTTCCCATCCTGGGCCAGAAAAACATGCGGTAATGCCACATTTTCGGTATTTCTATTTTTCCGCCACTTCGTCCTGGAGAAATGACATGGAACCGCAGCTTAGCCCGTGGTGGGGGGAAGACGGAGAAGGAATCTGCGGTTCTTTAGTGGCACCCACTGAACCAGGCACAGGGCGGAGGAGAGCGGGCGATCTTGTCAGAAGGCCTGAACTCTGCGTCCCCGAGGGTCCTGAGCGCTACTTGGCCACTGGGCGGGACCACCAAGTGGGTAATGCCACGGCTGCCGAGGGAGAGGCGGAGCCAGCCCTGTGGAGGAAGTGTGGCGCCAGACACAACACGTTGCGGAAGAGCGCATGGCCTCCAAACTGTTCCGCTGCCTGGCGTCTGCTGGGTGGCTGCAGTTTGGGAGGACACCTCCCTTCGGGCTCTGCCTTCGTAATACCCTCCCTTTCTGGCTTCCACTGAGACTTGGGCAGGTTCCACTCCATAGGCTAGATGGGGGCTCCTTCCCTCAGCAAGTCTGTGCTGACTTTGCAGACTCCTGGCACATGTTTGCTGATGATGTCAGTGGTTTCTATTATGTTAGTTATGGAGGAATGCTCGATTTTATTAAGCTTCAACGCCAAGCTTGCAAGTCGGACACCAGTTAGCTCAGCCCGTCTGCCGTCTAGGGGAGTCGGTAGTGAAATCCTTTTGCGAGGAGGCATCCATACGGTATTGGGAATACCTGATGAGGAAGATGGGCTGTATGGCCTTGCTTTTGTAGTGGTCCAGCCTGGGACCCCAGTTCTTCTCCAGACTCGAGGTTCCGCTTCCACAGGCTGACCAGGACGTTGCTCTCATCTGTCCCATTTGGGGTCCCAGACATCCCTGCGGCACACGGCCCCGCCCACGGTGGCGGCGGCTTGGCGCACTTCCGGGCCTGAGCGGGGCGCCCCCCACAACTCAGAGAAGAGCGCTGTGACCAAACCCCAGGCCGCTGAGGAGTCATCAAGAGAACGAGTAAGCACATCGTTAGAAAATTCGTTCTTAAAAAAATGACTGTGATTTGATGTGATTTGATGTGATTTGATGCATGCCAAGTCAAGTCACACAATAGTGCTGTTGTTTTTTTCAAACACATGCACTTCCTCATCAAGTTGTTTCTGAAGCATAAATTGCTTGTAGTTTCTAGTTGTTTTGCAAAGAAAATAATACAAAGAGCCAGCCTTTTCCTCCATTAGTCTGCAGTGTTCCATTACCAGACAATTTGGCTACTCAAAAAAACAGGCTATTTTCAGCATGGAGCTTCTTCCCACATCCTGCCCCTCAGTAGGGCTGTCCATAATTAAATTTTTTGTTGTTGTTGTTGTTCAACACATGCTATTATTCACTTAGTTATTCATAAATTTGTACAAAATTTATAAGATGGCCAAATTTATACTTAAACTGGTGTCCTTTGTTGAAACAGTCTGAGGGGACAAGCAGCATGAAAGAGCTCTAATTAAAATTCTCTGAGAAATCAGCAGTAGCAATTAATAAAACAGAAGAGTAAAGCAGCATAGGATTCATCAAACTCTGGAGGCCAACCAAGAGGGATTCTCCTGAACAACAGAGGCAGGGAATTATAAATTTATAGAAACATGTTTCCCAGGTCCCCACATTGTGCTGTTGGTACTCTGAAGCGGGGAAGTAGCAAACTTCTTGTTAATTCTCAATCTTGTGCAAATGAATACACATCTAAAATAAATCATAAAGTTGGTTCAGAGATCTTATTAATTCAAGCCCCAGCATGTATTTTGGGAAATCTTAATTATTTGGATAATTACTCAAAAACTACTCTTGATTTCTTGTGCAGAAATACAGTCCTTGGTTATAATTTGCTTTTTTGAGGTAATATAGAGATGTGTACTTATGCATTATGTTTTACCACCAGAATTCTGGTTGAAGAGTACATTTCAGATATCCTCAGAAATGTACTAGGGACACAAGATACTGGGCTTGGTGGTGAAATATGGAGTAATAATGTTTATCACACCTGATTTTACTCTGGGAAAAGAGTTATAGTATCATAAAATTGAGAAACAGTGGCAATATATATTTGATTAAAATACATTAATTAGAATCTGTGATGATTTAGCATTGAATATAAACCTTTGGGAACATTCCTACACAGTTTTGTGGGATCTTATGTCTCAACCCCTGAGGAATATGGGATGAAGGCATTTTATTCCAACATTCCTAAAAAAAAGGGAGATCCAGTTCCGTATAAGCATACCTACAGTTTGTTGACTCCTCATTCTATCACTTGGACTCTGTTAGTGATATTTTTAGGGGGTGTCTATCTTTTCCTTTCTTTTATGATATTCTGGAGTTTTATGAATGCCTGAACAGGGATTTTTGCACTAGCAATTTGTTTATTTGTTTTTTCTCCATACCCTCTGCCATCCCATTTTCCTCTGTGATGTGAAGTGGAGTTCTTCAAATGTAATTGTGTCTTCTTTTGACTGGTGGGAATTAGAGTTGAGAAGATATCCCTCTGTCCATAACTTTCTCCCAAAAACGATTAAGGCTTGGAAGGCAGGTTGGGGTTATCATTTGTACTTCACTATGACCTCTACACCTAGAGTGTGAGTTGAACATCTGTGGGTTAGTTTCCTTGAAGGTACTTAGAGTGTTGATATGCCAAATACCATTTGCTTTTGCAAACAGGAACAACTCTGACCACATCCTGCACATTAAATGCTATCATGACTTCTATGCATATTAGGGAAACTTAGGATCAAAGAATTCTCTAAGATCACACAGAGTCAAAAAGTGGCAGAGTTGAAATTAACCAGATTCCAAAAGCTGGGTTCTTTGCTCTATATCATACTATTACTCATCCACTATTTTCTGTAGAGGTGAAGTCCTTCTGTGGCTTGCAGTTTTATAGGCTCAGAGCCTCTGTGAACACTAATTATTCCAGAACCTAATCCTCCTACATATTATATTCAATTGGTCTTTCAAATAGAGTTTGAATTTAAATCTGAAATTAGTGACTTTGAAGAAAGACATCTGCTACTTTTCTGACTCTACTTGCATCAACATATAATTAGCTAAATAAAATTTTATAGTTTCTTGGAATGGTTATAAGAATATTTTCAGTATTCCTTTCATTTTTATACATCTCTTGACTTTTCCCATTTCTTTAAAAATGTCAGGCTAGAAGTTTAGAGAGTGGATTTTTATTCACTTGTAGAATAATCATTTCCATCAGTAAAAAGAGTTTTAGCAAAGCATTTTCACTTCAAAAAATATTTCTGTGTATGTGTTACCTTTATATTTGGATGAATAATTGAAAAAACAATAAATTATTTTGGTTTCTATAACTTGTTTTTTTTTAAATGTGGGTTTTACCTTTTGCTGAAGTCTCTGAATTTTGATGAAAATTCTGAAAAAGAAAAATAAGTGCGAAGATACAATTGTTATTTAGAAAACAAATTCACAAAACAATCAAACTGATAATATCCAGATCTAAACACTAAAGTTTCTCTGGCATGGTAAAAACACGAAATATTTATTGGTGTCATATATCAGTGTTGCTTCATAAACAGAAGGAAGCTAAATTGTAAGATGAAAGAAAAGCCTTCTGAATATTTTGGTAAACAGTCTAGATTTTTTGACTGAAAAAAATTTAGAATAAGTTAAGCCTATTTAGTATTATTACAACAGTTTTGTATATATTGGCTAACCTCACTTCCCCTTCCACAGCAGGGAATGATTTTTTGAAATAAGTGCATTTTAATTCTCTGTTTAATATATCCAGTTCTTATTATTAGCAGTTATTCACTTGCAAAGTTTGGACTGCAATGAAAAGAGGGCTGGATGGACGTGGGCAAAATTATACAGACTCATGATATGGTTTCATTTTTTATTTATTCCTAGGAGATTTTAAAAAAACTGATAGTAAAACATTGGTGACCATATCCTAAATTTTTTTAAAAAAGTACTACCTGAAATTTTATTTTTTATTGTCATTTTTGTTCACTTCCATTAGTATGGTTTTATTTATTTATTTGCTTGTTTGTTTATTTGCATTTATATTTGTCAGAGGCCTAAAATTACTTTAGTGGTTTAGGAATCGCTGGTGATAAATTCATTATCACAAAACCTATGTAAGGTGATTCACAGATTCACTAAAAATCAAGTTTCAGTACAAAAGCAAAAACATTTTCTAATATCCATTTTTTTATAAAGATTTTATTTATTCATTTGCGAGAGAGACAGAGAGAGAACAAGTAGGTGGAGAGGCAGAGGGAGAGGGAGAAGCGGACTCCCTGCTGAGCAATGAGCCGGATGTGGGGCTCGATCCCAGGACCCTGGGATCATGACCCGAGCTGAAGGCAGACGCTTAACCATCTCAGCCACTCAGGTGCCCTATGATCCATTTTAATTAATGCTAATTTTTAAAAAATTTTGCTTGGACAAGTTTGCTTTTAATTAATGAAAGCCCAGTTTCTCAAACAAACTGAGGAATAATTGTTTTCTTGTAACAAAGAACTTGCTACAATATTCCTTTAGAGAGAAAACACTTCTATCGTCTTTAAAATGTAATTAAATTTATATACAGCTTTTCACTTAAAAGCATTGTTCATATGAACCTTTTCAGAAGTATTTCTCTTAGATACAATATTTCACTGGAGCATAGTTTCAACCACTAGGCTTAGTAACTACACATAAGATCTTCACCCCATCCATGTGGGTGAGACTATTAAAAATGTTAGCTTGACTTCACTAGAATTCAATTTATTCAGAAATATAAACTTGTATTTTAAAATCACCATGACATCCACCTACAGCACAATATGTAAGACCATATTTTTCACTTTGTGTTTCATTTATTGTACAAACATGTAATGGAAATATATTATATGAGAATCTGGAATATAATTTTGAAGGATGGAAATTGTTTCCAATGCTGAGTGAGAGCATGAGCGAGAGTATAACTGTATTTGTGATATAATTCATCATCTTGCCAAAACTTACATTTAATAAATACCTAATTACTTCTCTGTATGGCAGGAAATAGTCTCTTACAAGTTGACCAAAAAATGCAGCCAAGGGAAAGGAAAGCTTCTCAAATTTGAGTTTGTTGGCAGAAGATTCATTTTTCTCAGTATTTCTTTGATCTTCTGTTCATGGTGGGTAGACACACTGTAGATACTTTGGCATTGTTAACTGCAGTTGGTTACTACACGAATTCTGAAAAATGTGCTTACTATTTGTACCAACATTCTTATATAGGTGGGCTCATGGTTAGGTTAGAGAAAGAGATGAACAAAAAATTTGAATGAAGGTCAGAATAAGTGAACTTTTAAAGTGTATTCAAAATAAGAATCTGCTTATTAAGGGGTATTAAACTATTTTTTGCCATTGACATATATGAAATAAAACTCGTGATTGTCAACTCTTTATTTTTATGTGTCAATAATCACATATAATTTAGTGCTCATAAGTAGATAAGAAATGTGAAATGTGAATATGAGCTTTTTTTGAGAATTATAATTGTTCATAGCTTTCCTAGGAAATACTCAGTTTTTCTTTGAAGGATTCTTTTGGCTTCAGCTATATTGAAGTTTTGATATTTCTAAGAAAATTGTTATTTTTTTTCTTTTAGGGAGTTTCAGAAAATGAATGTTTTAAAGATAGAGCTTTTTGTATCTAGTAATATTTTAATAGCATTAGAAGTGTTTTATCTTAAAATTAGATTTTCCTCGTTCTTTGATCAGTTGTTTGTACTGATTCACTGAAACCCGGACATAAAAATTGAAGCACAACCAAGTGGTCTTAACAGGTGGAAAGACATGTGCCCACATTCATGCATGTGGTCTCCTCCTCCGGCAAAGGCTCACATCTGTCATGAGGCTGGCTATAATCAATTGTTGTGAGAAAATGAGGACCTAAGTGGTGCTTGTGCAAATTAAAACCTTCATGTTGGTTACATGGGGAGGCGTCTCCAAAACTACCACCAGCACCCACTATCTCCAGTAATAATAATGACTCATGCAAGAAACACTATCATCTGGACCTTTATTAACATTATTTGTAATGCTCAGAGAAACCCTGCAAATTCTGCCATTATTTATTTATTTAGTTAGTTTTTTATGCATGTGTACATGCAATGAGGAAAGCTGAAACTCGGAGATGTGAATTAATTTTCCCAAGGATGTTCAGCTAAAAACTGGTAGATATTGAGTTCAAATCATATTTGTATGACCTTAAACTCTTTGTATTTTATCATCAGCTCTAGGTGCTTATAATGTCTCCCAAATATGATAATTTGTGTTGGTGGTATAGTGGTGAGCATAGCTGCCTTCCAAATATGATAATCTAAGAGAAACTAGTTGCTTGTTGAAAGTTAACTCTCGCTATCTCGTTATCCTGACTTAACTTTAGCTATTGGAAAGCTCTTCTTTTTTTTTTCAATATATTAATATAAATTCTTTTTTTTAATTTTATTTTATTATGTTAATCACCATACATTACATCATTAGTTTTTGATGTAGTGTTCCATGATTCATTGTTTGCATATAACTGGGTTATATGCAAAGGAAAGCTCTTCTTAGCATCATATAATTCTTAAGTTTTTGAGTTTGTCAAAATACTTATTTTCACAACATACTGATGATAGGCTTTTCAAGACTACGTATAATTTTCCCATTCTGACACAGAATAAAAAATATGACCAGATTAAATGTGATCACTTCAAATTTTTTACCTTGTTATCATTTAAGAAGACCATGAATATTAATATGTACATATAAAAACAGATTTGGAGACTACATAGTTATTTCATTTTCTTCCATAATTGGAAGGTATAAGAATAGATATTTTCCCATTAAGAAAAATGTAATAAAATAAATAGTTATTAATTTCAAACATCAAATTTTGGTATTTATTCATTATATTTTTTAAATTTTGATTTCTTCTTTGCTTTGGGATTTTAGCTTTTAATGAATGTTTATCTGGAAAATCTTTTGGTAGGATGATCCCACTGCTCCTGAGTCATCGCTGTCACTATGTAATGCAAATAAGGTATTTAAATTTCTATGTTCATTATTACTCTCTAATTACAAAAACAAGTTCTAGTTAAAATAAAACTTATAAAATACGACATTAAGAAATTACTGATTTTTTTCATAGTCATCTATTTGAAACAATGATGATGATTTATATATACTAATATAATTGTCCACTTTCTAAATAAATCTTTTTGAAATTTCAGTGCTGGCATATTCAAGGTAGCCTGTGCTGTTCCTTTCCATGCAGATAAGGAATGAATGTAATCACTCTGTTATGAAGTTTCATATATGTTTTGAGGAAGAGGCTGTCAGTAATTTTTCATATTTTATCTTATTTAATCATTATAGCAACCCTATAATTAATTATTATTGTTCCAGTTTTACAGAAGAAGCCTGACATATTCAAGGTAGTCTGTGCTTTCCATGCAGATAAGGAATGCATGTAATCACTCTCTGCTATGAAGTTTCACATATATTGAGGAAGAGTCCTGGGTTCAAATCTCTATTTTGCTACTTATTAATCCTCTGTACATAAGCATTCTAAGCATCAGATTTTAATAATAAAATTAACATTAAAATACCAACTTCATGGCATTGATATGAGGATGAATTGAAATAAAATAAAAATGAAATAATAAGTGAAACTATTTTATTATTGCAATGCACTATGAAGTATTAGTTATTATTATTATCATCATATCTTTCTGTTTCATCATTTGCTAAACTAATAACAAGATTGAATGGATTTATTGTGACCAAATTTACTAATCTTTTTCTTGGACAGTAATCAAAAACAGGATATTATTGCATGCTGTGGGATCATATAAGCAGTGTGCATTGCAAATTCAGCAAAAGATAGCACAAAAACTGGTCTTTTCTTTCCTGTATATGTGCTTGTCCATGTAAGCATGGATACTTGCCCCTGCATATACTGGTGCACATGAGAACCATTAATAGTCTATATAAACACTTGCCTGTGAATGTTATTATATAAACTATTCCTCTAGGTAGAATGGTAGGATTGGTTTCAGTCTCACTTGGAAGATATATTGCAGTTACAAACTTCAAAGGTGTAAGAAATTTCCTTTTAATTTAATTAAATCCTTTTGGTATAATAGAATCAAGTTTCCATTAGCCCCAAATGATTGAAATTACATGTGCAAACACATACACAGACACATACACACAAACACACAGTACTTACTCAAAATTCTTTCTCTCTTCTTAATTAATTATTGAACTCAGGTTTAAAATAATTACCGTCTAATAAATGAGTATATTTACCTCTATTTTTCTCTGAAGAATTAGACGTAGTTCATTTACAGCATCTGTAATTTGTTTGGTCTCCACACACCCCAGAACACTGCATATATTTTTTACTTCTTCAATAATATTATCTACATTTTGCTATGGATGAAAAATAAGAAGATGCAGTTTATTTGGAATACATCTTAAATCTTTTCCAGATTAAGAAAACACAACTACTTGATTATAACATGGAGAAGAAAAATTTATGAGTAATTCCTATGGAAAAAGCCAGTTGTTTTATTTGCGTGTGAACTCAATATGAGTCAACATTGTGATATGCCTGACAGCAGATCTACTTCATTATTAATTAAATTGAAAGCCATATACTCTCCATAAATAGGAAGTTAATATCTCCACCACATTTTCCATGTGTATAATCTGGACAGGACTTTAGTTCTGGGTATCACATTTGAAACTGGACTTGACAAATTAGACTTTCCCAAAGAAGAGCAACCCAACTTTTGATATACTATTAATATACTCATTCCAAACAGTATAGTAGACTTTGTTTTCAGCTCTACAGTAAGGTTATCTGTGTTAAAATCCTGGTTCTTTTCCATCTGTACCTGCGACTATTATCTAATTAACTTCTGTGGATCTAAGTTTTCTCTTCTGTAAAATTGGAAAAATAATGATTAATTATAGGGTTGCTATAATGATTAAATAAGATAAAATATGAAAAAGTGCCTGACAGAGAATAAGGGTTAAATTTTAGCTAATTAATTCATTTTTTATTTTTACTCACTCACATAAATTTTTCAGTTTATATGAGAAATCAGACACTGTACATCTTCATATAACCAATAAAATAGAAACTGAAAGGTAATAAATATGAGAAGGGCATGTATTAGTGCTATGTTTAGTTTTCATTCATACATTTGAAGTAGATGTGTGATGTGAATTTGAGGAAATCCTTAAAATATTACTAATTAAAATGCAAATGCTGAGTTGACTTGGGTTAGTGAGTAGCTAATTTACTCCATCTCTTAACTCTAGTCTTGAAGTGCTTCATATCTGATCTATTTATCTCATTTAATCTTCCTCAAATTCTGAAAAATAAATATTATATTCATTACATTCCTGAATCGCTGAGATTGCTAGAATATTCTACGTGAATTTTTCTAATAGTAGAATTAACTTGATGATTAATTGGATGTGTGGGCCAACAGAAAGTTTGGATTTAAATGATTCTGAAGTTTTATGCTTGGGAAACTAAGAAGATAGGGTGCCATTAATTATGGCAACAAATGTTGGGAAGATTTTTGATGGGATTATGATGCATGTGATTTTTGATATGCAAAGCTTGACCTTCCACAGCAACAACCAAGCAGACACAACCTCCAGATATTGGGAGATGCAATGAGATTCTAGCTCTGCCAACTGTTGGATTGAGAAGACACACACACACAGAACACATGCTCATATAAACACTAGATGAACTGTAAGAACAAAGTGTAAATGTATAGCTTAGCTCAAAACAAAGGATAAATTTCTGGGTGACAGAAATTTAAAGAGGGAACTTAAAGCCAGAGCAGTGTCTTCAACATTGATGCTACAATGGCCTGAGGGAAATATCAGATTAGATTTAGGCCTTCAGGCTTAGAGAATGGTGTTTACTGCTCAAGATGGGACAAGTGCTGAGATTTTAGACTAAACCAGTAGGGGGAAGTAGGGAAAGGAACAGATCTGGAGCTGAAATCTCTGAATAAACCCCTGACACTGGATAGACTGTCACCTGCAAAAGGTGGGAGAAAAACTATGCCTACTGACCAAGAGAGCTTTTGAGAAAGCCTCTCTTTACCTAGGAGCTTTGGGTGAGGAAAATGACTACCTGAAAAATTGTATGTGTAGCTGGGAAGTATGGATTTATACTATGGCAGGAATTTATGCCAAAAATTGTTCCAGAATATAGTGACAATTTGGACCCAAGCAGAAACAAATGCAAAACTGCTCTATGGAAACACTTTTCTAAATTCTAAAACCCTGGAGTTTCCCCTAATATAAACACACATGGGTATATGTGTGCACGTGCATGCACGCGTGTGCGTGCGCGCGCGCACACACACACACACACACACACACACACACACAAACCCTTGTAGAAGGGGAATAATCAGCCTAAAATTTGCAAGTCTTATGGTGGCTGATCCACCATATGAGAGATTCTATAGATAGGAAACATGCATTAGCATCTGATTTCAAGTGATATTAAAACTAAATTTGAGTATAATTTTCATAGAGGTGACACCTGGCCAAGAATTTAGATATGACTGTCTAAAAAGAGACAATGGAGGAAAGAAAAATTGAATGCTGGCCATGTAACATTTCAGAACATCTAGTATTATGTGATAGAGAAGGGAGTTTGGGTCACAGATGGAGCACACAGTGCTGAGACCTGAGCCGGAAGACTATAGTTTAATGGACATAAACTAAAGGTAGTTGATGGTACTAGGAAACTTTAGCTTGGAAGAAAAAGAAGAAAAAGGAAACAGGATAACTATTTCCAAGTATTTGAAGGCTAAGTGAAAAGGTGATTAGATGTACTTGTAAGTAGCTCTGGAATGATAAATTAGAACAAATGGTTGGAAACTTAGAGACACTCATTTTGACTCAGTATGAGGAAAATCTTTGTAAAAATTGTCTGTTCAAAATTTGGGAGACTGTCCTGTCAATAGAGAGTTCCTCCACATTACAGGTATGCAAACAGAAATGTCGAGAGATTTTTGCATTACATAGGATTTGAACTGGACTACCTCTAAATTCTTTCTATCTCTGACTCTTTGGGTTAGTGAAAACTGACAATAATGCACTTTTGTTATTTTATGTGGTATATTTCAAGTCTATTTTAGGAAATAATTGATGTATCATGGACTCTGAGGATCAGCATTTTAATACTTTAGATATTAAGCATATCCTAAAAGTATTTTGAACATTGGAGAAGATTGGTGACAACTTTCTCCTCTGCATCTTTCTGCAAGACAAAACAAAACAAAACAACATATCCTTTCCTCCCTACTGTTATTTAGCTGTGATGGAGACCAAAGGAACAGCCATGTAAGAGCTTGCCATTTTCCAAGTTTCATATAAACCTTAGTGAATTTCTATTTATATTTACACACTGAAAATTGCCAAATTCAGTTAATGAGTTTAGAGACAAATTGAGAAGTTAGAATTATTTTTGTTCCAGATGAACTAGTTATTGCTGTTATAAATTGTTTCTTAAAGATTAAAAATAGTCTTTGGAGGGGTGCCTGGCTGGCTCAGTCAGAAAGCATGTGACTCTTGATCACAGAGTTGTGGGCTTGAGACCTATGTTGGGTGTAGAGATTACTTAAAAATAAAATCTTTTAAAAAAATAGTCTTTGGAGTTCCATTTCAGTTTAAAATATAGATATTTGGTCACACCATTGCAATGAAAAAAGGCAGATAATATACAAAAATCATAATTTTTCCTGACCTCATTAGAGATTTGAGGTCACAAGTGACCAAATATACTGGACTCCAAAGAATGATAGGCCCCTCAAAGCAGAGATGGGGCATACAAAGTCTTTGACCTTTAGCAGAGCACAGGAAAAAGAGGTGACCACTATACAAGAGGGTAAGAATAAATTAACGAAAATTATAACAAATTCTTAAAGGGCCAGATATGAACTAGCATTTCAGTTTGGAAAGGAGAGTTTACAACCATTATTTAAGCTCTTTTCCATGGATGCTTACCAGCTGTCTAGGGGAAATATTGTTCAGGAAAATGAAGGTTCATTTAGTGGTCCAGTATGTAACAGATGATCAGTTGTTTCTGGGAGACAGGCACAAGGGCCTGCCCATTTCTGTGGAGACTTCTCTAACAAGAAGCAAAAGTCTTAAGCTGTTGGTTGATGGTACTAGGAAAATTATAACACTCAGAGGGGCAGAACACTCTCTGTCACCCTGATCCCAGGCAAAAACGTCTTACTTTGTGGGGAAAGGGAGAGAAAGCAAAGCAGTCTCCCTGTGGGTGAGAGGTAGACATAGCTGAAGATCCTTTGCCAGTGAGGGGAAAGTCAAAGCAAAAACCTTTGGCCCATGGGGAAGGGGAAGGATACTCTGTCTTGAGTCAAGATTCTACATGGATACCAATCAGAGGCCAGGTACCAGGGTTAGAAAGGGCAGAAAATCATCTTCTGTATAAGACTAACTACAGATATAAGGCACAGTTTGGCTGCCATGTGGAGGGGCAGGGATTGTCAGAAAGTTCCAATCTTGAGACTATAGAACACAGTCTGCCTATGGCTGTGATTGGTCATTACAACACAGACCTCCCTTTACCTTACTACAGAGGATGAGTCTATTTTGAATAATAAAGAGCAGAGTAAGAGTATTGATAGGGACAATCTCTGTGGCATAGGCGAGCAGAGGCTGTTGAAAGCTGAGTGAAGCAAGAATACTGAGGACAAAATTCTGGCAGCACAAACCCCACTCTAAGTACAGGTAATAGTGGCTAACCACTATTTGAAGAAATTTGAAGTGTGAAGTGCCCTACGATAATGATAATAACAAAACACAAATAAAGCACAAATCTTGACTGCATTATATCAACCATGCATAGTAGTAGCATAACTGAAGAAGAACATTGCCCATTTGCAGGTGTGAATTAAATTTACCTCAGTCTCTACTATTCTCCATGCGATGTTTAGCATTCAATCAAAAATTACAATTTGTATAAAAAAGCAAGATACAATAACCCTTTGTCAGTAGATGAAACAACTGACAAATCTATATATGACCTAGATGTTGGAATAATCAGATAAGGATTTCAAAATAACTATAATTAACATGTTACAGGATCTAGGAGAAAATATGGACAATATACATGATCAGATGGGGAACTTCAACACGAGATGGAAACTATATAGAAAAGCAAATTTAAATGAAAGAAATATAAAAATATATGTGATATTAGAGCTGAATTCCTTCAGTGGGCTCATCAGCAGATTGAACCATGAGCTAGGAAATTATCAATGAAATTGAACATATGTCAAGAGAAATTATCCTAATTGAAACATGAAGGGAAAAAAACAGTGGGCAGAAAAACTAACACATGACATCTAAGAGCTGTCAAA